ACATGAGTGTCTAAATCAGCAAGTGACTTTCATCTTGTAACATTTTTTCCTCAGGTTCATCTTTGTCTTGATGTTGACAACAGCCCCTCAGACGAGTAAATGTCTCCGACTGTCCTGTGTCTGGGCTGTAGGTTGAATCATCCTCAGACATTAAGTCTCTCCCTTGCTCAGGAACCACGAGAGCTCTCATGAGTTGCTAAGTCAAGTCTAAACTCCTCTGTCTGTGCTCTGTGCTTTGACCCCTCCCTAGGGACATGACAGCCATCTTAATATTTTTGAAGGGCTGTCAGAGAGAAGAAGGATTACTCTGCTTCTGCACTGCCCCGGCAGGCAGAAGGTGTCATCAGAGATGGAAATTACAGACACACTTAAGTGCCTCAATTTATAAAGAAACATTCTCCTTGATTTTAAGTGTGTGAAGTGAAGGTGGGTGGCAGGGGTGGTGATGGTGGTGGGGGTGGCAGGTTGTGTTTATGGGGCTCTGACAATGCTTGAAATACCGTACAGCTCCTGTGAGATGTGTTCTCCATGAACAGTCTAAAGTAGCAGGAAATAGCACGATAATGCACAATCAGTCTAAATGTCTTGTGTGAAGTTTCTGACAGTTTAGACAGACCTAGCAAGTCTCCTAAATTAATGAATGAAGATAACAGAAGGAAGGACTTGGATCTTGGAGAAAATAGGTGTTTGTGTTTAATGCCTCACCATTAGGTGGCAGGTTGGGGTTGGAGAGGCTACGGCCTCCTTATATAAAGTCCTTTGGGCCATGATGAAGAATTTGGCTGTTTTTCCCAAGGCAACAGAAGCAGGCTAGTGCATGATCCCCGAGTAAAGCAGGACTCCATGGACTTTCTAAGAGATGGTAGTAATGATGTGGATGGCCTTACATAACAGTGGGTTCCCAAATGCTGGAGCAGGGGCTGGTGAACCTGTCAGGGTTGCTATAGAATCGAAGCAGGGCTCCAGAAAGCATGGGAAGCCAGATGACATTTAAGGTGTCTCCCAGCCCTGACATTCTCATTGGCCAGGCTCAGCCCCACCAAC